GATCCTCACGGTGTGGAACTCAGCTCCTGCCATTCCGTATCACACAGCGCCGCACGTGAGCCACCCACAATGCCCCCGAGGGCCCTGGGAACGAGACGCAGTCGTGTCTACAGCAGCAAAAACGAGTTCCGGCTCCCGCACACGACAGCCTGTGTCACGACGTGCCACTTCCCCGTGTCACACGGGGGCTGTCACCAGACCCCACACTCCACCCCGTTCTCCAGAACCTTCCTGTCCAGGCGCGGGGACAGCCACCGTTCAGGGACAAGAACACACAGGTAAGAGGCCGAGCTGCCCCGCCCGTCAACCACAAAGACGCGGCCATGCCTCTGGGCCTGTCACAGCCCACGGAGCTCTGCAGGAGGACCCGGACTCGGATGCCCGCCGGGGCGGCGTGAAGGTGGTTTGTCCTGTGCCCGGCCAGGCCAATGCGATGAGGAAAAGATGCAACCCAGGTGAGGGCACCATGTCCCCCACCGCGGTGCCAGGCGCCCAGGGCACCCCAAGGGCACCGACGATGCTGAGCCTGGTCCAGCCGCCACCCGGCTGCCAACTCTGCAGACCCAGCCCCCACGCCAGAGAAAGACAAATACCGTGCGACCTCACTTAAAAAGAGGGATCTAAGGAACGGGATAAACGAATGAACAGAAACAGACTCACAGATCGGAGAACTGGTGGCTGCCAGACGGGAGGGCGGGGCCCGGTGACACGCAGAGGGCTGAGAGCAAGCCGGCAGTTCCCGCGTCACGGGGCCGCGGCCGGGCCCCCACGTGTGGTGCCGTGTGGTGCCGGGGGCGCTTGTCTCTGCAGGGTCCCTGTAGATCACGTAGACGCCTGACCCCGAGGCCGCGTACCTGAAACTGACATAAAATAATACTGAACGTCGACGGTAATTGAAAAGTCAAAAAAATAAAAAGTTGAAATGAAATTAAACAAAGTATTTTTCACAAGTGAAGAAAAAAAAAAAGCAGAAACCCCACATGTCACGACCAGGGAGCCAGACGGCATCGTGACGACGACGGCATCGTGACGACGAAGGCATCATGACGGGACTTCGAGAAACAGGCCTCTAACAGGACAGGGCTCTTCTCTATTTTTTGGAGAAAAATCTACATTAAGCAAAACTCCCTCACCTTCACAGTCCGTGAGGCACTATTTCCGCTCATCCGTTTTATCTTTTGCTGCTTCTCAGTTTCATTTTGCACGTTTGCTCCAACTCCACAGGTAAAACTGTTGCGACGTTCACTCTACGCCGCCCACTGTGCCCGTTTCACTGGCTCGTGTCCTTATCGCTCTCGCTGGCCACACGCCCTCTGTGTCTCCAGGTGCCCTGTGCCCTGCACCTGGTCGCCAGCTGGCGAGACGCACCCTCCTCCTCCCGACAAACAGGACGGATGGCGCCCTACGCTTCCCCTCGCTGGTGCATGAAAGTCCACCTCGCTTTCTCCCCACTTGTAAAAGTTTTAAGGTCTGACCAGCATACCCCACGTGCAAAGCAACGTGTGCGAGTGTGACGAAGCCGGCGCCTGAGCCGTCCCCTACGTCCCGGGTGGACACGGCGCAGATTAGACAGAGTGCGGGCAGCGTCATCAGGCACCGCGTAAGCTGTCGCTGCCCGCTGACCTACTGGGGAGGAGGCCATCTTCCGGGCCTGGTTCTCCAAACCCCCGAGTGAGTCACCAGCTGTGAGAAAACTTCCTTCCTGCCAGTAAAATAAACAAACGATGGGCACGCACTGTGTCTCGACTCACCGGAGACCCCGTGACAACAGCTGGGTCAGTTAGGATGTGGACTCAGATCACAAACGTCCCCCGCTGGGCCTGACCACCTCTGAGAGTCCCAGTGTCTCCTGAGGTTTTAGCCCAAAGGCACATGTCCTGTGCTGACACTGAGGGTGCTGACACTTGCCTCTTGTCCAGCCTTGTGCCGTGTGGGGACAACGCCACTGCCTCTAGTGTAGGCTGAAATTTAAATCACATTTCCAATTTAAAAACTGCCTTTGTGAAAGTTTCATTTCCGCTGATAAGCTAGGAGCCCGACCACGATGTCATGATGTGAGGACGGCGTGGCCGTCACTGTCTCACCTGCCATCTGCCTGGGAACGACCCAGGCAGGAGGACTCGAGGGAAACATCTTCCCGACCTGCGTCAGTCCAAGCCAATTAATTAAAGTGGAAACAGCCACTTGCGGAAAACAGTGATCATGCAAACTTGCCATTCTTTTGAGATGAGCGTCTCTTTTCTCTGCTAAAAGCTATAACAAAGTGAAATTTAACAGAAATGAAAACTGTCAGGTTGCTGTTCTGTGAAAAAATTAAATGATGCGATTTTTTTGATAAGGCCTTTATTTTTATTTCCACCATTTTTGTCACTGCGTCAATGGATACAGAATGTTCTGTCCCTAAATTAAAAACAAATTCAAAACTATTTACAGAACATACTGTTAAAGCAGCATCTGACGGCTCTACGAGGCATCTAAAAAAATAGATGTCGAATCTATCAACAATCGTGCCGAAGCTAAAGCACACGAAGACCCTGCTGCTCTGCGGACACGCTGGGCTCCGTGGCCGCCGCTGGTGGGTGTGAGATTCGCAGCGTATCGGGTTCAGGGCCCAGGGGCCGCCAGGCGTGGACCCCAGCAGGGTGGGAAGGCAGCACGCTGAGCGCGACGCCCTGCGTGAGGTCCCACCGGGACGCTCAGTCGTGAGTGCTGCACACGTCCACCAGCAGGTGGTGCTGTTTGCCAAGGGAACCGGCGTGTGGCCTGTGACCCTCAGGGAAGGCCACTGTCCTGCTGCGGCTGGCTCCGGCCCCGCGGTGGCTCACAGGGACACTCACACGAGATGCGGTTCCTTCTGGCCGGGTGGCACGGCCCTCACCCGCTCGCCCAGTGTTTGTCACGAGCAGAGGTTTAAAGCAGGGGAAGACGCCATCCAGCCACCAGCTGGGCACAGCAGCTTCGGGGTGACGGGCAGCTGGGCCCGCCCTAGCGGCAAGCGTTCCCATAGTTGGCCGAACTGCGCTTCCATCTCTCCTTGAACTTTAATTTGCTGGGTAATGCTGGGGACACAGCCACCCCTCTATAAAATGGAGCCGCGCAAAGCGGCCTTGGGGCAACTGCTTTAGTACATGCCGTCACCCGATGCCATCAGCCTGTCGACAGGCCAGTGCACGGCCGCTCCCCATAAATGCAGGAACATGAAGCCCCAGCCGTGAAGAGAACCGAGGGCGGCAGAGGCGGAAGGGACGGGTCCCCGGACGCCCACGCCCGCGCCCACACCCTTCGGTCAGACCTCCGGGTGGCCTGGGGCCACCAGCCCCGCGGCGCCGGCACACGCGAGGGCAGGCACACGCAGGGAGGGCCGAGAGTGTCGCCAGGATGGCTGCTCTGGGCCTCGGGGGCCGGGCCCCGGTCCTGGCTCGTTGCTGCTCATTCACATGGCTCGTGAGGCACAGTCACACACACAGGGCCCGGCAGACGTGTAAGAGCAAAGCCAGGGCCTCACGAGCAGAGCGTGCGGGATGACTAACTGTCCCTGGAGGTGACGCAGCAGGAGGCTCGGGGTGCCGTCGCTCCAACCCGTTTCCCGGCAGGGGTTATTCAGACGCAGCCCCCCCCACCCCTTCAGCCTCCGAGCAGGCGGCAACGAGCAGAGAGGTCTCCTATTCCGCTGTGTCCTCTGGCCGTGGGACGGAAAGGCTTGGCTCCCCTCCCGAAACCCGCTACGTCTTCGGGGTGCAGGGGGCGGTGGGGGCCAGCTCTGCCGAGATGTCTCCAGTGGAGGCTTAACTGTTAGGTCAGCGGCAGCTTTATGTCAACCTTAGCAGCTTGGGGACACAGACTAGGATGACCCGGGGCCTACGAGAAACGGCGCAGTGACTTTTGGTCACCAAAGGTGGAACCACTTGCTGGATAACACCCCGTCACATCAATGGTCCCAGCAAACACTGCAGCTTCCCTCCTGCCACCCCTGCTGTGGCCAGTCGCCGAGCGCCACCCAGCAGGACGGTGCCCCACTCACTGCGACCGTCCCTGCGGCCCGTAGGGTCCCGGGCGGCTGCGTCTCTGCCTGGCCCTCCTTCAGACAGGAGGGCTGATGTGCCGTGGGGTTCAGGGCCACCAGCTACATTGCCTGCAGTCACGTCACTGCCGCAGGTCACTCAGCCTCGGCGATTCAGTCACTTCACAGGCAAAATGGGCGATGGGAATGGCTGCTTTTGGGTAAGAGTGACGGAAGCTCCCCTGGACTTCCCTGGAGTCTAGGGTCCCTCCAAGGATAACCAGGCTGTCACCAAGCACGGGTGGCTAGGTGCTGAGTCTGAGGCTGTCAGCAGATCCCTGATGACGAGACCAACCGCGCGCCCTGCATTTGTCCCTGGGAACCTCAGCCCTCCAGGCTCTGTCCAGCTGCACCCCGGGGAAGGGAGGGTCAGGCATGCGGGCTCTGGGCCTCCTCGTGTGACCAGGTGCTGCGGGAACCTCGATGCTGGTGCTGTTCGCTGTCAGTGGAGAGAATGAATGGGCGGGCAGCAGACTTTGGGGGGAGGAGGGATCAGAGGGTCAGAGACGACAGTAACGTCGGAGGAGACGCGACAGGTGCGTGTGGTGGAAACAGCGCCCCCGTCTGCCCGGCGGAGGGAAGGTTCATCAACGCCAACGACGGCCAACGCCCTTCGTGGCGACGCCCGGGGGACAAACGGGCAGCGGGACCATCATGAGGTGTCCGGTTTACTCGTCCGCCTGCCACCCCAGCTGGACCGTGGTGCTAGACTTGCCTTTATTTGGAAAATGGTCTCTGGGGATTTTGAAACATAAAACAGTTCTGAAGTATGTCACGCTTTTGAAACACATAGCTGTTTTCATTGTCCAGGTCGGTTTGTCCTGATCAGGCATTGGATGACGTGCAAGTGTCCTGCCACTCTGCCCGGCCACGGTCCTGGGAAGCTCGACCTCGGCTGCAGCCGTGTGCACTGGGCAGCGTGGGAGCGCTGACGGCCGCCTCAGTGAGGAAGGGCCGGCAGAGACCGCACGTCTTCCCGCCTCCCATTTTGGGAAGGGAGCTCCTGGCTCTGGGCCGGACCGTCTGTCCCTGGGTCAGCTGGGGGGTCGCGCTTGGTGACATGGGGCTTCCCCATGGAGCCGCCACGGGCCCTACGGGAGAGAAGTGACTTGAGCCACGACAAACAAGGCACCACGCCCATGCCCTGGGTCACAGTGCGGGCCGACGGGGCCTCTGTCCCCGGTGTGGGGATGGGCATGGTCTGTGCGTGGAGGGGACGGGGGCCTTGCTCCCGCAGGGCACCTGCGGTCTGTTTGGGAGGCTGGCGCTGTGACGGACGCCCCCACGACAGGCCCATCTTAGCCCTGAGCATCGCTAGGTCGGCCAGGCCCTTCCGTCTGGGACAAGCCCCGGGAGCAGAGTAGCGACTTTCTAACGCCACGTCACCTGGGGTCACGCACATAAGGTAAAGGTGGTAGAAAGTGGGTTTAGGTTGACCTTTCCCGCGCTGATCACCATCGTCTCCGTTTTGAAAACGGCGCAGTTTAAAAGCCACCGCTTTGTCCCCGCTCCTCTCCCGCCACCTTGGGCCAGCGCAAGGGGTGCCGTGGGCGGCGCCCTCAGCTGGCGGGGTTCCCAGGAGGGCGGCCCCCGCTTTGCCCAGGCCTGGCTTGGGTTCATCTCCACTTTCTCAAAGGAGGGTTAAATTCTGACGTGTCACTCTCCTCTTAAAACGGCTCGTCTGAGCAGAAAGCACACAGCAGGTGGCTGCAAACGGGGAGGGGACCGTGCCCTGCAGAGGTGCAGCAAAGGACCGTGTGTGGTCACAGCAGCACCCGAGCGTCTGCGGTGACCCCGGTCTTCACGGGAACGTGTGACGCCAGGAGCCTGCGTGGGAGTGCGCCACGTGACAGCTCACCTCCCAGGCCCGCCTGTGTCCCGAGGGCGTGCGGTCCTCCCATCGCTCTCTGTGACGGGCAGTGAGGATTCAGAGCCGTGTGACCTGCGGGCGACACCCAGTTAACACAAGCGCCCGCCTCACACACGCTTAGCCGTCGTGAATGCAGCTGTGAAGCACGCCGGCGGCCAGCTAGTCACCTGGGTCTTTTGCTTAGAACGGCCCCCTAAAGCTCACGGTCTCAGCAAGTGACTATGCAGCGCACACATGACCGTCGCCACAGCTGGTGACGTGACGACACTGCCCGCGTGGCCGTGGAGGCGGGAGGCGGTGACGGCCCCGTCACGGCATGAGCATGGCCCAGGGCCACGGGCTTAGCCGCCCCCCACCGAGACAAGGAAGTCTCACTGCGACCGCTTCTTGCCGCCACGGACCCGCCGTTGCCGACGCCACGGCAGACTCGACCCCTGTGGTGTGAGCGGGCACCCTACTTTCGTCGCTCGAAGCACTGCACAGCATCTGCGTCCGCCCTGGGAAGACCAGCGCGTCCTCCAGCCCAGCCCGCCGGCCAGGAAGTGGGCCCCAGCCACGGACGAGGGCGACTTACCACCTGCAAATCACCGTCCAGGTGAGGCCTGCCAGGCTGCCGACGAGCAGAGCGCCCAACGCGATGGACACCAAGGACGCCTTTGGGAGCCTCCCGGAGTCTGGGGTAAGAACAGGCCAGTTAGGGAGCCCACCAGCCCAGGGCAGAGGCCGGCGTGCACGGCCCGACCCCGAGCCCACTCCGGTCCTGGGCCAGGCCCACCCGTGACAGCACGACGCCCTGAGGAGCACGAATCTTTCTGGAAGCAGCATCTGTACAGACAGGCCACCCCCACTCTGGAGTGTGAGGTGAGGGGGCAGCTTGCCAAACAGATGGGAACCTTGTCCTTCTCCAGGTGACATCGTGGCCCACTCTTCCCCCCGGGAGAGCATCCCCAGTGCTGAGATCCTGGGGACCCCGGAATGCCCCTGGTGGGGCAGATACTGGGTGCGCAGCGGCCGTGACGGGCGGTCAGGCGGGAGCCGGGCGCCGATGAATTTTCACGCGCTGCTGCCTGTGTCGGGCACAGGCCAGGTGGAGGTGCCAGCGGTCAGGACGCACTGTCACGTCCGTGGTGCTTGGAGCCCAGGGGCCGGCCTTGGGAACAAGACGGCAGTGGGCTCCCAGCTCAGGCGTGAGTGTCCATCCCAGGAGACCTGAGCAGGGCCGGTGGGAACCAGAGCACGAGGAGCCTCGGCCAGACGGGCGCGAGCAGAGGGCGGAGGCCGCCCCGAGAGGGCGGGTAGGGGACCTCGGGGTGGCTCTCCCACACCGGACGCCTGCAAACATGAGGAGGAAGCCAGTGACTGCTCCAGCTCCTCACGTCCTAGGTCTGCACCGTCCACATGAGGTGTGGCCATCCGGGGCCAGCGGACTTTGGGCACACTGCCCCTTTGGCCACAGGTCATCGCAGCCGCCTGTGCAGGCGCCGGTCCCTGAGCGCTAGGGGGCGCTCACTCGGGGTTGCTGGCACAAGGCCAAGTGGTAGGCCTGGCGCCCCGCTTGGCCGGTCCCCTCCAGTGCGCACGGTCCCACTCATCACTGCCGACCGGCCCAGCGCGGAACAGGGCAGACACCTGATGGACACGTGGAGCCCACGGCCAGTGCTTGGGGACAGCGCAGCGGTTTTATGAGGGGCCTGGGTGAGGGAGACCCCCGCCTGGCCAAAGTGTGCTCGGGCCCCTCCAAGCCCTCTCCGCTCAGCCACTTCTCGCGAGTCCCCCGCCCCACGCCGCCAGGTCCGGTCCCTTCACAGCCGCCCTCGCTCTGCCCGTGAGGCCCCAGCTGTCTGCTGAGGTTCAGCTCTGTTCCATGCGGAGAGCTCCTTGCCCTGCTGTGCGGGGGCGGTGAACACCTGTTCTGCGTTGTGACAAGTGTCTGGCATAATTCTTCTCTCCTTCGCAGGAGCTAGAAGCCACGTTATGAACCCTACATCTGTGCCTGGGGGGCTGTGTGTCCCTGAGCCAGTCACCCAGCCTCTCTGTTCTGTGCGCTCAGCTCAGAGATGAGCCGCGGGGGTGACGGTGCCAGGGTCTGGAAGCCCATGTCCTCCTGCACCACCAGGCTCAAGGACGACTGGCAGTTCCTGCCCCGCCCGACACCAGAGACCGCGCGGAGGGAACACCCCCGAGGACGCGCGGCCGTCCCTGAGTGTGCGTGGGCTGTGCCCTCGGAGCACGGTCTCACCGACGCAGGTCCTGCCGTCCTCGCCCAGCACGTGAGGGTCTGTGCACTCGCAGCGGAAGCTGCCCCTGGTGTTCCGGCACCGGGCCGACGCGTGGCAGGGGGGGTCCGTCACGTCCTTGCACTCGTCGACATCTGTGCACAGTGCACGGGTCAGGACTGCCGCGCCGCACACCACCCGGCCGAGTCTCCCTTGGGCAGAGCGGCCCCGCCCCCTGGGCCAACGTGTCCCGGCCTTCCCCACCCAGGAGGAAGGGGACTGTCACCCCCGCGGTCGGGGGGCGCCTGCTGTCCCCCTCTGCTGAGGCCCATCCTCCCAGGTCACTTCCGACCACACCACTTCCCCGGCAGCACCCTGGGCATGTGACCCTCTGGCCCTGACACTGACCCCTAAGGCACCTTCGGTTCAGCTCAAAGTCATACTCAGGCATGAGCTGTGCCAGCCTGGGACCTGCGGCAGGGCCTCAAGCAGACGTGGCCGAGAGCCCCCCGGGGATCCGTCGTTCCCTTCACTGAGGGGGTCCCGCCGCATGTGGGACGGGAGGGTGTCAGCCCATTCCAGCAGACGGGTTTCGGCTCACACTTGGCACGGCTGGCCCTTGGCCTGCACCCGCCTGGGAACCACTGCCGTCCAGCTGGGCGTCAAGCGTGGTGCCCACCCGCAGAGCGCACACGAGCATCCTGCTGGCCCCGGTCTCCTGCGCAAGCCTGACCCCCGCAGCCTGGAGGCCCCGTTCCTACACAGCGTCTGCTAGCCTCTCCTTCCGGCCGGCTCCAGAGGCCAGCGGGACATCGGGGGATCTACGTCATGTTCCTAAGCACGCACATGAATGCGACACACTTAAATGTCACACACACGCATGTTCTCAGGTGGCCTCCAAGCGCCCGGGTGCTGGGACATGTGCCAGCCTTCACTGTGCGGCCAGGCCGGGCGCTGCCCTCTAGCCCGGGATCCAGAGATGACAGCAGTGACAACAGAAATGGCTCTGGCAAGTGGGTAGGGCCCTTCAGGTGACGGGAGCCGAGCAGACGCCAAGCTCGGAGCAGAGGAGAAGCTCTTGCGAGCCCTTTCCCATGTCCGGTGGAGAAGGGCATCTTCTGTGGGCGACTCTCACCACCCGTCTGTGCCCCGTGCTGCAGAACAAGGGGGGCTGGCGGGGACGAGAGGCGCGTGGGGCCCCACACGGGGGGGGGAGGTGCCCACTGGGCCTGGCCTTGTCACCGCACCACGAAAATCCCCGTCGTGTCTCGGGAACCTGTGGTTTCCCCTGGGGTGTGGGCTGGCGGCAGTCCCGCTGTGTGTGGCCACCAGGCACCCCACTCATCCCCAACCTGGTCCCCTGAGCTCTCACCCTTTCCTGTGGCTGCTGTGACGAGCGCCACAGGCTGGGGCCTTGAAGCAGGTTTTGCCAAGGCACACACAGGGCCTGGCAGAGCCCTTTCTGGCCTCGTCTCCCCTGGCTTGGTGGCGCTTGGTGTCCCCAGGCTGTGGCTGCCCCTCTCTGTCCTCTGTCCTCCCTCTGTGCCTCCTCTTCTCATAAGGACAGGGAATCAGGGGCCACCCGAAGACTTCACGTAACATGATCGCTCCTGCGAAGGCCTTGTCCCTCTAAGGTCCCATTCTCATGTGCTGGGGGCTGGGACTTCAATACACAGCTGGGGACACAACCTGCTGTTTCATTCCAGCTGTGGTCACTTTCTTCTTATCAGAAACCCGAGTAGAGGACGGTATGAGCTGTGGGCCTTCTGCGTGGCCAGGCAGCTCTCACAGGTGGACCCCAAGGGTCAGGGGACCCGTGCTGCCCAGTGTCCCTTTCCTCCCTCTCGGCGGGAGCGACTCGGCCCCTAGCCCCTCACCTGCGGCTCTGCGTGGCACTGTCCACACCTGGCTGCCCAATGCCCATTCCACACAGGCGAAAGGGAGGAGCCGGAGAGAGGGGCCGGGGGCACTGAGGACGCGAGGACACAGGCCTGGAGACGAGCTGACCCGGGTGGGCACCGATGCTTCCCACGGGGGCATCTGGATTCCTGTGAGAAACTGGCTCTGGAGCCTTTATACTACGTGTGACTTCTCTCCCTTTCCTGCCTGTCACCTGTGCGGCCCGTTTGACGTGACTGACGCTTCATCACCCGCAAAGATGTCAGCTTGGGGACGTGGTCGGCTAAGGAAGCCATGTTTGATTTCCATGCCAAAACCGTCCCCAGGGTGGCCGTCCCCAGAGATGCCTTTGGTGGGTGGCATTCCTCCTGAACTCACATCTGAAAGAGACAGTTCGGACGTGGTTAAGTGACTGACCTTTGCAGACGGGGGGCCGGGGGGCCCACCCCTGGGGGGTGCAAGCGGCTTGCTCGTGGCCTTGAACTGCGAACCCGTGCTGGCAGGCGAACACCAGCATGCGCCTTCCCGACGCGTTGCAGAGCACGAAGTCCCCATTGTCCACTCTCTCTGGGAGGCCACACGTGTCACCTGTGCATGGTTGGGAGGTGAAGCCAGTCGGACACATGCTGTCCTCCGCCTCCTCTCAGGACTGTCCCCACCCCGGACCTCACCAGGACTCCAGGTCCCACGTGTCCCTGTCCGATGCGCGGACAAAGCGGCTCCGCTGCCGGTGTGGACCGTCCACTGCACACAGCACAGCCCTGAGTTCTCCCTGCTCAGCTCCACCCTCTACCCAGCGCCCCGCTCCGAAGGCCCAGCAGTGCCTTGCGTGGCTTGTCACCCCGCTTGGAGGCCCGTCTGTGGCCGGTGACCCTGGACACCTTCAGGCTGATCGCCGGCTCCCACCCTGCCCGCCGCCTTCCATCCGAGGGCCTGGACGAGGACTGCCTCCCAGATACCGCGTGGCACCTGGTGTCTCGGCTTTAAGGGTGATCCGTACAGGTGGCGCTCATGGAGAAACCCGGACTCACGCCCTCTTCCTGAGTCCCCTCCTCCACCCCCACTGCCTTCCGCTCACACTGGACGTGGCCACGGCAGGGCTGGTAACCTGCGTTCGGCCCGCCCTCTGCTCATGAAGGACCCCGCCAGCCCCCACAAGGCTTCTCCTCTGGTCAGCCCTGCGGCTCACCCTCCAGGATGTCACTGGGTTCCACTCCTAGACCCTCTGACGGCGCCCACTGCCACCAGCTGGGGGCCAAGCCACCGTCTCTCTTCAAGGGCCTATCACAGCAGCTCCCCCGGTTCTGCCTGTGCTTGTACCAGCCCCGCCCACGTGTGCTCCCAGCTAGTAGCCAAGGGTCCCCCAAAAGGAGCAGCAGACATGGGTCTCCTCCTGAAACCCCACAGGCTGCGCCCTGCTCTGAGCGAAAGGGCCCCCCAGGGCCGAGGCCGGCTCACCTTTTGGTCCCCTCATGTCCTGTCACCCTCGCAGAGCTCCCGGGTGGTGGGTGCTCCCCCCAAGGGGATACTCTCCAACTCGTGGAGCTCCCCACCCATCACACCATGGTGCCCCCACATTCCATGGGGACAGGGTGCGCATTCAGACTGTTGCTTATTTGCCGGCTGTCTCCCTATGTAGTGTCAGTGCTGTGTGTGCAAGTGTGTGTGAGCGTACATGTGAGCGTGCCTGTGTGCGCGTACGTGTGTCTATGTGTGTATTTATCCCTACAAACGTGTCCCTGGCACCTGGAAAAGGGCCTGTCACATAGGAGGGGGCAATAAGTCCACCCTAAGCTCCTGCTTGGGGCCAGAGCGGCATTGTCCCCCAGGACAGAGCGGGCGGGTGGGTCGTGCTGAGTGTGACTGAGACTGTGACAGGGAATGAGACGCGTGTGACAGGCGTGTGCAGCGCGGCACTGCAGTGGAAGGCCTGGCAGTCTAGGCTGTCGCCTGCTAGCAGAGGGATCCGGAGGTCGTGACGTGACAGCTGCAGCCTCCGCTCTGCTGGAGTGAACCTCGGCCCAGCCTCGCGCTCCTCTCAGGGCCCCATGTTCTGCGACCAAGCGGCGGCCACTCAACGCGATCCTGAAAGCGTGTCATCCAACTTACTACCCCCCTCCCTTTCCCTGTCGGGACAGTAGCGAGCCTGTAGTTTTCTTGGGTTGTCACAGCTCAGTGGGCGCCACTGACGCCTGGCGGTAGACACCAAGCTGGCGCCGCATCCTACAGAGCACAGCACAGGCCCGAAACAGTGGGACCCCGGGTCGCCGCCGTGCCCCAAGCCCTCGCCGGGCACTGCACAGCACACAGGACGGCGCCTTCTACAGGGAGGGCCGAGGCTGGGACAAGCCCTCCCGGCCGCGGGGACGCCAGGCTCCGTCTCCTGTTACTTTCTCCAAACACGGCGACTGGAGGCCGCTGCCTTGAGAAACTATGCTCCGGGGTGGAATCCACAGGGGTGACATACGGTGACGAGGGCTCAGTTACCTGGGGGCGCGGCCTCCTTCCACGCTTCCAGGTCCAGGCCCGGGATGTCCTCACACGCCTCGAAGTCCCGGGGGAATTTCCCAAGCCGGAAGGCGTCGGCGGGCACGCGGGCGAGGCCGGTGTTGTCGCAGACGACCCGAGACAGAGAGTGCCTCCCCAGCTCCCGCTGCTGCGCCTCGGAGAACACGCCGCCGTTTTCCCACCAGAACCTCCGAAAGCGAGCACAGAGGGCCGGTGGCGCGAGCGCCGCCTTCCGCGTCGCTGCCCTCCCGCATCCCAGAGCTCTTCAAACCACACGAGCTTGGCGACGACGCGGTCCGCAGCCAGGGGCACCACGTTACTGGCCCCGGGCACCTCAACCGCCTGGAACGCTGCTGCTCGGAAAGTAACGATGCAGCCGTGCGGGGCGGGGGCGAGCTCGCGTGCCCCTCTCGAAGGGGCGTGAACACGCCAGCAGAAATCTGACTCGGGCACAGGGACCACGAAAAGGGGCGCACCGGGCGTGTCGGGCTTGCTTAGAGAGCGAGCTTTCCCGTGCTCGTCCACACCGCTCGCTCCCCCCAACTCGTCCTGGGCAGCTGCATGCGGACGCTGGGGCTGGACGTGGGGCGTGGGGGCTCCCCAGTCCTCCCAGGAACCCTCTGCTGGGGCTGGGGGTTGAGGGCCGAGGAGGTGGGGGACCCACTGGCCCCGCGCCCGGCCAGCCTCCGCCTCCCCAGGCCCCGCGGACACAGCCAGAGCATCTGAGGACAGGTGGCATCCCCAGGCATCTGAAATGTGATTTGTTCCTCGCACGATGCCCGCTTTTCCATGTGACGACGTGACGCGGCAAAGCCAGCAAGTGCTCAGGCATCAACGTGCTGAGAACAGAGTGCGCCGTGCTCATCTCACGGTTATAATAACCACTTCCCAGGGAGACAACATGCCAGGGCCACACGAGCAGGACCGATGGGGCCGGTGCTGCCACAGGAACCATGTGGCACAGCACCTCCTGTGTAGGCCTTAGGTGCGACTGGTCACAGGTACCTACCGGTCCCCGTCCCTCAGGGCCTTCATTTGCCTCCCAATGATGCATGCGAACAGAGGCCCTGTCCGGGCCCCGGGGAGGAAGCCCTCGGCCAGGCCGCCCAGCCAGACGTCGATGTTGTTAGGGTGCTTGTACAAGTCCCTCATCCTGTCGGCTGCGTCCCCGCTGGCCATGGCACTGCTCAGGGTGGCCCAAGTCTGCAGTCTGGGCAGGCCGCAGAACTCTCTCCACTCGTTGTAACCTGCACAGGGCACAGGGGCCACGGGCTCCGTCATGGGGCCTGAGTCTGCCCCCATCTATACCACTACTGCTTCGCCCACTCAACGTCGTGGCTACAGCCATGAAGTCTTGTCCCTAAGTGCCAACTACAAAGAAAGTGGCCATCACCCTGCCCTGTGGACGGGAGTGGGGGGCGGACAGTCCAGACATCAGGGTCTCACATAAAGTCCGGTCGCAAACAAGCGGGAGAGCCGCAGGGTGGCTCCAAACCCCGCCTGGGTCACATCACCTGCACCTGCACTTGGTTCTCGTCCCTACTGAGGGGCAGAGAGGCCGTCACCCACCCTGTTCACAGTACCGTGAGAGAGCACACGCATGCACACACGTACACACACATATGTGCCTATGCATATGCACACGCACGCACACATGCACACATGTGTGCACGGTGCACCCCCACACATATACACACATGCACAGGCAGACACGTGCACACACACACACAGACATGTGCACACGTGCACAGGCACATGCACATATACAGATACAACACACCCACACGCATGCGCACATGTGCACGTGTAGGCACATGCACATATGCAGATACACATGCACATACACACACATACACGATATACATGCGTACAGATACACGCATGTGCACAAACGCATGCACGCACATATACACACACGCACATAGGAAAGGTCGTAAATGGCTGCATCAGCCTGACCAACCCGTGTCCCCGTCCTCTCTGTTGCCAGGTGAGCCCCACGCCTGGCCCTGGTCCCCGCTTCCCCCAGGACCTGGAAGGGGCTCCCGTCCCTGGTCAGCCGTCCTTGCCGCCGCAGCGCCCCCTCCTCACACCGCCGTGTCCCCTCACCCCACCCATCCGGTCCGAGCACCGCCCCTTCCCGCAGTCACCGCCCCAAGGCCAGGTGGCGCGGCCCTCCCTCCGCGCACCCCACACGGGTGCAGGCCGAGTCCTCCGTGAGCGCCCACCATTCCCTGCTCATTCGTTCTGCCATCTGCAGCCCTTCCGCTGACACTGTGTCCCTCCCAGCACCGCACACAGTGCAGTCACGGCTGGGCTAGTCCTCGGGGATGCAGGGGCACTCGTGAGACAGGGCGTCGGGGCGCGGGCACACCCCCTGCTCCCATGAAGCAGACCAGCGGAAATCAGCAGCGGTTTTCCAGTTCGACTCGCGGGGGTGGGGGGCGCACGTCAGTGACAGAGGCGTGCAGAGCCAAGCGGGGGCCCTCCAGGTACGGGGAAGAAGGCAGCTCGGGAAAGCGTGCATCGGAGTGAAAGCCAAGCTCTCGGAACTGCTGGCAGAGGCCGGCGGGACTGGGAACGGCGGGGCCCACGGCTGTCGTTCACACCGCAGCGTGTGCACGCGCTGTCCGCGCGTCACGGCACCACAGCCCAGGTCACCCAGAACTACCAGGAAGCCGCCCGCCTCCACTCAACACCTGCCGTGGGTAGGGGGCTCTTAGGACTTGTGTCCTGTTCCCTAAGGGCCACCCGCCCGCTCTCGAGGCCTGGGCAAGCGGCTGCCTCCCTCAGGGCGATGCCTGCCTCCCAGCTAATGCCACAGTCCGTGCCGTGACCCACTTCTGGCCCAAGCATCACCCTCAAATGTCCCACGATCCAGTGAGTGACAGCACAGAAGCACTAACGGCTGATGTGGATAACGCTCCCAGCACCCGCCCCAGGGCGTGGAGACACCTCCGCTTCTTCACTGCGCGTTTGTGGGAAAAATGCATTATTTTCAGGATGGTTAAAACTCAAAATACTGAGCGAAACAAAGTTTCAAAATTCACGGGTGGGGGTGTTTCTACAGTAGTATAAACCAGCTTTAAGCGATTTTAAATAGTAAAAATAATAAAAATCTCTCACTTCCTGTGGGAGGTTGGAACACTTCATTCTACATAGGAAACCACGTGGTCTCCTTCCTCGCTGCTGAGAGGGGCGCGGCCATGCCCGTCTCCAGCTCTGGAGGGGAGGGTGCGGGAACCGATAGGGCCGCAGCTGCAGGGTGCCGAAGGCGGGGCTGCCGCAGAGGCCGCCAGGTGAGACAGCGGCGGGGAAGGACGGGGATTCCTTTGCGGAATCCACTCTGCGGCCTGAGAGGTAAACGAGCCGCTCTCACGGTGTGTGGGGTCGCGTGTTTATCCTCAGGATGTGCGTCTCGGCGAGCTCACGACCTGAGAGCCTCAGAGCTGAGCATCCGTCACACGCGTGGACGCGTCCATCGTCCACTTGCTGGACGAGAACTGGGCCCTGCCTGAACTCGTCCTCCAGGCTCCTTAGTGATTTTTTAGGTGAAGCTGATTCAGCCTCTCGGGGTTTGGGGGCTGGGGAGCTCACGCCTACGGGAGGTTTGGGGGGCCCTGGGCAGGGCGGGACTGGTTCCCGAGGTGGGGCTGGGTGAGCCACACACACCAGCGGAGCCCACATCACGTGAGGGGTCCCTGCCCTGCAGGGCTCATGGCGCCCGCGAGGGAAGCGGGTCTGCGCACAAAACCTGGAATCAGGCGCTGAGCCTCGGGCAGGCACTAAAGCTTGACCAGACGGCTGGACTCTGAGGCCCAAGGACAGGTGGCCTCACGGGGGAGGGCTATGGACGGGAGGTCGGAGGGGTGGGAGGCAGGAGCGGGAGGACACGGACCTGGCCTAAGGAGAGGATCTCTGCTCACAACGGTGGCAGGACCCTGGGCCAGCCGGCTAGCAACAGCCTGAGGCAGCGGGGCCAGGTGTGCAGGGCTCAGGTCAGGACGTGAGGAACAGACAGGGGTGGACTCTGAACACCTGCGCAGTCTGCCCAGGACGCTGCACCTCCCCCGCCCCCCACGATGCTCGCCCTAAGCCTCCGACAGAAGCGGCGGTGGCCACAGGCAGGTGGCTCCTGTGACAGCGGGGTGGGAGGCGGTGGGGAGGCCCGCGGCGCGGCTGACCTGGAAGCCCGTGGTCTCGGCCTCTCTGCAGGTTCAGCGATGCCAGGTCGAAGGTGCCAGGGCCCGGCGGCACGAAGAGCCTCTCGGTCAGCGCCTGGTTCATCAGCTGCCCCCACACCTGCAGCTTGGCTGGCCGTGCCAGAAGGCCCCTCACCACGGGGTCCAGGCCGCCTGGAAAACACCCCGGACCATGGCCAGCCTCCTCCCTGCTCCCAAGGACGCATGGCCCCACACTGCGCACCAGGCTTGTCCCTAACGAAGAGGTGATGGCCATCAAACACCAGGTTCCTGCAGAGGCGGGGAGGAACTCCACAGGGTGGGGAGCCCGGGCGACCTCCTCCCCTCCCTCCGGCCCGCGCCCAGTGGAGCCTGCCGCCATGGGCTGGAAGCTTCGGGGCAGAAAGAGGGGACACCAGGAAAGGGGGAAGGAGGAGTGAATTGGAACAGTTCTCCTGAACAACTGGTTCTCGAATGCAACCCAGCTGTCTCACTCTAAAGCTACGTGGTGCTGAGGGTGGCCGGGGGACGACACAATGACACAGGGGCACCGTTTACGATGTGCGGCATGAATGGTGACTTCTGCCCAGCAGGCGGAGGCCAGCGCACCTGCTACTCTCCAGGGACACCGAAGGTGTGAGGGGAAAGCGTTTCTGTCGCTTGACTCGGGCTTCTACAGGGTCTGAACACATTTACTCCCCCATAAACACTGACACCTGCCGTGTCTGGCCAGCTGCGTGTGAGGTCAGGGCGGCCAGGCGCCTCCCTGGGGAGGGAGGGACAGCAGGGTGGCGGGCGTACCTTCCTTGAGGAGCCTCCAGGGGCTGAAGAAGGCATCCTGCAGTGACAGCGGGGGCAGGCCGGGCTGCTCCTGGAAGCTGGCGTTCAGCCGCCTCACCACTGGGTGGACCGTGGTGTGGCCGAAGCGGAAGGCGGCCGTGGAGAACACGTTGGACACTGTGGGGTCCACGGTGGGGTCATAGCCCTTGTAGGGGCCCACGTGCTGCCCGAAGGCCTCGGGGCCCAGGATGCTGGGGACGTAGTCCCGCAACGTGATGATCTGCGAGGGAGAGGAGCACAGAGCTGCTGAGCAGGGGGCGTGGCAGCAGAGCCAGGTGCCAGCCCGGGGCGGGGAGGGAGGCCCCGGGTGCTGAGCTGGCCCCTTTCCTCGGTCTGAATTGTCCGTCAACTACTCGCTCTCTGTCAGAACCACAGAAATACGGTGATCACGGGACCATCGGGGGTTTCAACAGGGACCAAACTTGCATTCCTCGGTCTGAATTGTCCGTCAACTACTCGCTCTGTCAGAAGCACAGAAATACGGTGATCACAGGGCCATCGGGGGTTTCAACAGGGACCAAACTCGCGCTGTGGGTTATAGATGAGCCTAAACTCCCACTTCCTGTCCTGTCCTGTGAAGACACGTGGCATCATCTGGAAGGAGGACAGACAGTGCCTTTGTCCTCAGGTGACAGAGCAGGAAGGGCAGGAAGACAGCGCGCTGGTTTGAGCAGGCGACTGCACAGCTGCCGGCTGTGTCGGTGACCTCGGATCGAACTTCCCAGAGAGGGCTCTGCTTTTTAGTGGATTTTCATGGCTTCTACGTACGGGCTAACTACAGAGCCTTGTCCTCAGACGCTGATGGGGCTGCTGGGGGCCGGGGTGGCTCCTGACAAGGAAGGCACTCGGGGGGAACACACGTGGCCCCGGGCCCGGCCAGCGCAGACCCACTGCCTGGAGGTGACAGACAGTGACAGCGGCTCCCTCCCCATGAGCAGCTAACACCTGATGCTGCAAGCTCTTCACGGGATAAACTGAAGACTGGCAGAGCTGAGCGTCCCGTGGATGGTGACTCCTGATGCCATCACTGGCCTAGCGACGTCCACATGAGGCCTGGTCCCAGGGGACCACTGTACCAGAGTCCTGCTTTGCATTTAACAGCATTTTTTCAGCATCGACTTGGTTTAGAACTTAAAGAGAACATTTTGGTCAGTGAGTTGCATCTGAGAGGCGTGACCAGGGGGCATGCTCGCGCGGCCCAGCGTGTCGGGTCAAGGGTCAGGGAGATGAGCTGCCAGCATCCCGGGGCGTTTAAGTCACAGGATTTGCATGCTTGTGACGCGTTCCTCCTGGACGACGAGATGCGTCTTCTCAGTGTGATGTGGTGCTTTGTAGGAGCGTGGAGGAAGTAGCGGGGCCTGGAGCATGGCAGCTGTCCCCGCTGGTGGGCAGGCGACACCCGGACAGACATGAGGGACAGGCCCCGTGTGGGGTTTCTCGGCTGATGCGAGGGAAGCCCCCAGGCCCTCCATCAGCGTCCGAGGCACTTGCAACTTCACTCGCAGGAACGGCCCCTCAAGCCCAGGTGCAAACGTGGCAGGGGGCCTCAGGTGAGCATGGCCTGGCTCCAGCACGGGGGCGACCACTGCCTCTCACTCATGTTCTTCTGTGGCGTCTCCTCCCCACAGCAGACGGGGACCGGCCTCCCTCTGCCGCACCAGGGGACAGGCGACAACTGTAAATCCAAGTATAAAGGTTTCGATGATGCCTCTTCCCTTTCTCCTTACCCGAAGTTCAGCTGGTGCTCCCCAGGGTGGCAGCACGCACGGTGGCACCGGAATCCTGAAAGCACGTGCCGCCACACGCCTCTCGTGCCCGAAGGGCTGCTACGGAGCAGACCGAGTCCCCTCGCCAGGCACGTGCCGTGTTCCTGCTTCTCCACTACTTCCTCACGACCTGGTCTGAGGAGCAACTATGATGCCGCTGAACCGTCTGTGACTGTCCCGTGGAAGGCAGTGCCACTTCTGGCCAGCGGCCATGAGCACGAGTGCCCCGCTGCCCTGCGGGGCTTCCATGCAGCTCCTCTTCACACGCTCTGGCGTGTCCTCGCTCAGTCACGTGGGTGGGGTTTCAGGTCCCCGCCTCTCGGCTCCTCTCCTGAAGGCGGTGGCGCCTGCTCCCTTCTCCCTGCTGCTGCCCGTCTGGCCTGGCTCGCCCGGCCTCTGGCTCCACAGTTGCCACAGATACTGCCAGGCCTGGCGACTGGACCTCTGTGCCCTTCAGGCCTGTGTCCCAGGGGACAGGCACCAACTGTGCCTGAAGGATGGTCAAGCAGCAGCCCCTACCCAAGGGACCCGGGATGGGCCATGTGTGTCCTGTGTCCCGCGCTGGTCTCCTGAGGGGCTGCTGCCCCCAGGATTGGGAGGTCAGATGGTGTCTGGTGAGCGACTTGACTTTTACTTAAACCGAGACGAGGATCCGGTCGTGTTCTATGGCGGTCTTCCGGGTTTGCTCCAATCCCCCTGGCAGATCCCCATGGTCACCTTCCTTTTGGCAATGTCACTGATCCCGTCTGCCCCCACCTCTCCAGGGACGGCTCAGGTCAGTGACGAAGCTCAGTGAGAAAACTGGCCCAGCCAGACTTTGCTGGTGTCGGGCGCCTGCCTTCCACGCCAGCTCCTGCACCCACCCCCGACACAGACACACACACACACCACACATATACACCACATACACCACACACAAACATACACACCACACACACCACACACAAACATACGCACCACACACACATACACACCACACACACCACACAGCCCGCCACACGGAAACACACCACACATACCACACACAAACATACACACCACACACACCACACACAAACATACGCACCACACACACATACACACCACACACACCACACAGCCCCCCACACAGAAACACACCACACATTCCCACATGGAAACACACACCTAACACATACACACCACACACACCCATACATACCACACACAAACATACACACCACATATACCACACACAAACATACACATCACACACACACACATACCACACAGGCCCCCACACAGAAAAACACCACACACTCCCACACGGAAACACACCACACACACACCACATAATACACGCACAGAAACACACACACCAGATGCCACGTACACCACACATACCTCACACACGCCCCCAGACGAAAACACATACCATACACGTACCCCACACAGAAACATACCGCATACATCCCCGCGTAGACACACACCCCACACGCACCAAACACACCCCACACGTAACACCCGCCACACACACAGCGCCAAGAGGAAACTGCCGATGTCCTAAGTTGACCTGCAGGCAGCCGGCGGGCAGGAGAAGAGCCAGGAGCTGCCGGGGTGACCAGAACTGGCCACCTGACACGTCACCCAAGGTCCTGATCCCGATCCCACGTGAAAAATCATCGTAACCAGGGAAGAATTAAAACAGACTCTCATTTAACTTGCTAATGGGCAAAGCGCACACAGGTCGCTTCCCTCTCCGCCTTCTCCTGTCTCCAAAATACGTCCGCACACAAAGCCGCCGACCCGGTGGACGCGCGCTGAGGACGGGCGTGGTGAGGCTCCGCCGAGCACCGGGCGAGCAGGCGCCGGGTGGCTGCAGACGGGCTGCACCCGTGACCCCCGGTGCAGCTGTGGCTGCTGCCAGTCGCCCCAGGGCACGGGACCTCAGAGGAGGGGTCCGACAGAGTCCCCCACCCGCCCCGCGGCTCGCGCACCTGGTGCAGGGCGCCCACGACCTTGCGGGCCTCCTGGTAGGCGGAGTCGGCGCTCCAGTGCGGGTTCAGGGCCTTGAGCGCGGTGGCCAGGCGGTTGTGCTCACGCAGCCACAGCGTGTGCAGGGCCGCCAGGGAGGGGGCCTCGCTGGCGCGGCCGTCCCCTGCCAGGAAGCAGGGGCTGCGGCCCTGGGTGCCCGGCTCGGGGGTGCAGGCCAAGGGCGCGCCTGGCGGCGGGAAGGGCAGGTAGGCGCGGCCGTGGTCCCGGTGTCGTGCGTTGACCAGCAGCAGCCCCTCGGCGCTGGTCCAGTTCCGCAGCTGCTTCTCCGAGGCCGGCGAGCTGCCGTACACGGTGGACGCGTCCAGGAAGGAGGTCAAGCCGTTCATCTGCTGCCGCGGGTTGGCCGCGGACAGGTTGCCGAAGAAGGCGCCCTGGGCCCCGGTGCCGCAGGCGGCCGACGACCGGTAGAAGGGCACCCGGCGGCCGGCGAGGCGTTGGCGGGGAGCTGCGGGGAAGGGCGCTCAGCTCACCCTGGGCTCTCGGTGGCGCCCTCTCCACAGACGCTAGGAGCCCCAGCTGGCCAGACCCAGGACACCGCATGTCCGCCCTCAGTCCAGGCCCGTCGCACCCTCTGGGCAAGGTGCCAAGTGGTTTGCGCGGCCCGGTGCCATCGTGCTGCTCATCACCCTGTCCCCAACGTGGCTCTCCTTCCAGCCTCTTTTGCTTCCCGCCTCCCTGCGGGGGCCCCCTCTGCACAGCCTGCCCGGGTGGCCTAACTGCCGGCTCTCTTACTGGCCGCCCCAAGCACAGCTCGGCGTGGACAGAACAGCTGCAGCGAAGGTTTCTGGGAACGTCGGCGAGGACGGAGGCCCCAAATAATGAGACCCATCTGAAACAGTCTTCCCTCCTCGGCAGAGTGGCCGAAACTGACTGCGGAATTCTGCAGCGTCTTTCGGGATTCTAGGCCCTCACTCCAAAGCTACAGGCCTCTCCCCGGTGGCTTGTCAGCCAGGTGTGCACAGGCACACCAACACTGAGGTCTGACTATGTCAGCTTCGTTATTTGTGACACCACCACAGCAACAAAGCTGAAAACTACTTAAATGCTCGTTAAGAAGTCAATTGGCTGAATGAGGTACAACGCGACACACAATGGGCATCAAGACAAACCACCCACGTCCAGTCCATTTACTGACATAGAGAGAAGGACACGAACTATTGCTGAGCAGCCCAGGTCCAGGACGATGTGGGCACGGCCCACGTGGGTGTAAACGAAGCCCACACACACATGCATCTATCACCTGCACACGTGTGCACAGGTCATTTACAGTGGGATGCATGGGACAGTCTTAACAGCTGTTCCCATTACCCCAGGAAAGGACAAAGGAACTTCTGTTCGGTTTTTTTAAATGGCATCTACCAGTTTCATGATAAAAATAAAAACTGGAGAAGTTCTACCTGTATGGGAAAGCATGGGTTTCGGTTCTCACAGGTCAGCTGGCAATCCGCCCCTCCCCCGAATGGAGCTTCACTGACACTCTGAGGTGTGAAGGCAATGTCGTGACCGATATACTGTCCCCACGCCATCAGCATATCAGTGTACTGGTCATCCTCTGTGACAGCCTCATTGGAAACTTCAATAACTTGTCTTGTCACCTCTCGCACCTGGATGAGGAAAGAGTTAGGTGGATTAGGTTTGAGTTAGGCGGATTAGGTTAGGTTTGAGGCAACTAATTTGCCCCGAAAGTAGGGTGGCCATCGTCGCCTTTGCATAAATGAGTGACCCACTTAACTGGCAAGCGTCTCTGAACAGCCCAGTCCTCCACGTGCGAGCACAGGGTCTATCGGAACCGCGGAGGTTGTAAAGGGCACAGCGTTAGCCGGGCCTCAGTCTAAACCTGCATCATCCCCCTGGAGAGCTGGTGAGATGTGATCCCCCACCTTGCAGGGGGGCGAGGTCCCAGGATTCAGGTCAGCGCCCACCCGCGGGGAGCCCGCTCTGTGGGCCAGGTGCCGTGAAGGAGGGCTTCCTCCAGCACCACGGGGACCCAACCCCCGTACAGTCCACGCGGCCTTCTGGGGTACCGACCGGGGGCAGGGGGACACCGTGGTACAGGAAGTGGGGGTTCCAGCCTCTGGGCTCACTGATGCCGTCCTCGTAGACGGGGGGCAGCCATCTCGCCAGGGCCGTGTTGGAGGCGCCCCACCTGGGGTGGTCTCTGCAGAAACAAGCGAGTGCACGCATGAGCTGGGGACAGCAGGGCAGGTGGCCGCAGCCTGCGTGCGGCGAACCATCCGAGGCCAGTGGGTGAAGCTGGGCTCCGGACTGGTCCTGCCTCACACCGGCGGCCGCGAGGCTCTAGGGATGTTGGACATGGGGGTCTGGAGGTCACGCACCCTCAGCCTGAGACACCCTGGCACTGGGGCGTCCTTCCGCCTGCCCTGTCCAACAGCCTTCCCCTCTTCTCCCATCCCCGCCAGGTGTCGCCCTGTGGGCCATGCAGCGGGTCCCTGCCGGGAGGAGAGACGCAGAGGGCTGCCCCCCCGACGGAGAGGCCGACGGGAGTGCCGCTGTGTCTGACTTCTGTTCACAGCGCCACACAGTGTGCCGGGCGCTGTGCCTTGTCCTGTCTAATAGACTGTCCCCGAGCTCAGAGTTTCTGCCAGCAACATGGTTTGCTGTGACGTGCCGAGATGTTCTGAATTCGTAAGTAAGATGGCCATCAAGGGCGCGTGTGCTCATACGTTCATCTGAAGGAAACACGTCAGGTGTCTTCCGAGAGCCACGAACCGTACTGGATGGAGCCGGCGGAGGGGATCGGCAGGTTGGGCGAGATGGCAGTTCTCCACACACAGATTGATCTGCAAATTCTTCCTATCAGTCAAACTATATTTTGTCAAAGATATAAAATGCACGATGAGGCAAAGCTGTGTTTGATAACATTTTGATCTACTTCTGAGCAGATCGTGGCAAGGAAGTCACCTCTCAGTAAAATCACAGGTGTAATTAAGAGTGATGTAATAGGTCCTGGAAAACTTTCCAGAAATTGAGAAAATAAGAGTAATGACTAGTAACTAATCCTTGTGCAAATCAGATGCTTTCGAATTTTTGCTATAAAAAAGAATCGAAGGACAGCCTGATTGAGTTGTTTGCTGACAGATCAATAAAAGTAATTTTAGTGGTATGTCTTCATACATTCCTTTTCTGCTATGTCTCAGAAAGGATTTCGAGGATTAGCTTCCATCACTGTAACTAAACTTCTGTTCCTGGCCATCTGTCTACAGGGTACCTAACGCGCACACCTACAGAGGTGGGACAGGCCGAGGATCGCTGCTGGCTCTGCCTCCCTCTCCAGTAAGGAAGGCAACCATCTAATTCACAGTCCACAGTGGAATGCCTCGAGGGTGAAGGGGATACCATAAAAGATGAACAAGGAGCTAAGTGGAACGTTCCAACCATCTCATCAATAAGTTAATTCCAATAAAAATATATCTCTATGTTTAATAATTACTTATCGACATTTGTGCTGATTTGATCAATCGTGTCCTTGTAGTAGTTGTAAAAATAATCTCCATCTTGAAGAAAACAATGAACACTTAGGCCCTTATGCTCTGTGGAAACGTTCTAAACATGAAATTTCAACTTACAATATACGTAACATACGTAAAATAAATATCTGAACATGTAAACGTATAACTACATAAATATATAAAAATAAGTAAAAATAATTACATAAAAATAAGATATCAAATTTTATAAACTTACAGAGCATACATAAAGTAATGGAATACGTAAAAGGGGAAAATAAAAGACCTTCAATTATAAAATATCCTACACTTGAAAAAAACGGTAGCTGAATTAGAATGGAACGATCAGTTCAAAGAACCAAAAAGAAATTTTATATTAAGAAAAACCGTGTTCTGCTTTTAGAAAACGGGTTACTTTGGGTACAGACTGCGGCAGGTACGTGCGCTGGCATTTCTCCCCGAGCCCACGTGGGAACACCCGGCAGGCGGGCGTTTCCTTGGCGACTGCACGGTCTTTGCATGAAGGGAGAAGGGTGCGAGTTGTGAGTTCGCAGCAGACAAGCAGTGCTGGGCTCCTTGGGGTCACGTGGCAGGACCGTCTGAATCGGCAAAGGTTCGCGTCTAGATGTTTTAAGGCCCCGCCCGGCATCTGGTGTGCGGACCCGAGAGCACGTGGGGCGACAGGCGGAGTGCTTTCTCAACACTTCACGTGTTTGCAAATATGTGAGAGTAAAAATTTACTTGCTTGGTTTTGGCACTAAATTATTATTATTTTTTACACAATTAAAACATTTTGAATACAGCTGACATACAGCATTGTGCTGGTTCCAGGTGCGCAGTGGTGATTGGACACCTGTAGTCCTACGCGATGACCGCCTGGTAAGCCTCGTGCCCACCTGGCTCCGTGTGTGGTTGTCACCACGTCACTGCTCAGTCGACACTACAGCATCGCCAACCCTAGGGACATGACATTGCAGGTTGTTCTATGCTGGGGTGATGGGTAGGACACGCCCAAGCTCCGTCTGTGATCCGGGCAGCCCAGAGTCAGCATGTCTCACAGCCATGGACAGAGCAGGGGGTGTTCTTCCTTCTGCGGGTCTCCTAGTGACACGCACGGTTCCTGACACTCGGGAGAAGGGACTTCGCTGCTACGGCTGCTCACGTCAGCGCTACGCCCTGCGGGAGCCACATCAGGAACGGTGTGGCCGCGGGCGGAGGTGGGCGCTGGCCGCATGTCCATGGGGACAGGGTGGGCAGCGCCTGTTGTCAGCACGTCATCACTGCCAGCACGCCAGAGCGGCTGCGTTTGCAAACGATGCGGGACAGCCCGGTTTTTCCCTAGCAGCGTGTCAGCGGGGAGACCAGCAGCCTCTCGCCAAGCATTCGGGTCCTTGCCGCCGGCTTGTCCTCCCTGAGGAGCCGCTCGCAGGTGCCGCCGTCCACCCCGTAAACAGCACTGGAACCTAACGGCCTGGGCAGCGACCTGTTTGCTGACTGGGTTCTGCATCAGCCTCTCGCAGGCCGGGGGGACAGCCTGGCAGCGCCCACACGCCCGGTGAACGCCCACAGCCACGGGGCCCTGGGACACTGTGCGCTAGATGCCAGTGGCCAGGAACTTGTGGCCTTCGTGCAGGCCCCCTGGGGCTTCAGGATGCTGCTCTTGGACATGGCTCACTTGTTACCGCAGACTCTCTGCTCCTAGTGGGGTCGACTTGTAGCACCATGTTGTCCCTTTATCAGATCTGGATGGGTGGCAGCTGACGAGTGCCCCAGCAGAGCCATCTCTGGGTGTCCTCCGGGGTACGGGCGCCTGCACTTCCACGGCAGCTCCAAGTAGCCGGGCTTCGCCAAGCCCCGCGGCCTCCCTCCCAGGTGTCATCACCGCAGGCCATGGGACACTCTGAATGCCAAGGGGAAAGGTGTTTCTGAAGTCCCGGCTTACAGTGAGCTGGGCACCAAAGCTCAGGACCACGGCTGGGAGACGCCGGCCAGGGTGTGTGCTTCCGGGTACAGATGTGGGGACGGGACACGCAGAGCCGTGCGGTGGCCTCGTCGGAAGGCAGCAGTGTCGCACGGGTTCTGGCCGAGAAGGAGCTTACAGCGACTGCGCGCCGGGATGAAGCTGGGAAGCTGGCTTCGCGCTCCTGCCGTAATACACTCTGTCCTACCTCCTCCCAGGCTCTGCGGTGAGGGGACCAGGGTGAGGCCCGTCTGCCCGTGTGCGGCGCACAGACCCCAGATGGCCCGAGGAAGGACTCGGATTCCAAAAGACACTTCGCGCTCTGCCGATGGCCCTGAGTGTGGGAGTGAGCATCAGGCCTCTGGCCAGCGAACCCACCTGTCTGGGAGGCGGGACCGGTGCTGGGCGACGGTGAGCTGGACGCTGGAACCCGTCCAGACGCTGAGGCACAGTTCTGTAGGTGGCGTGCATGCTGCAGCCTCCACAAGCCCTGAAAATCCGTTTATTCTGGTGCCACTTATGCCCATGCTGTGCTGTGACAGCTCATGTGAAAAGTGCTCTTGGGCCCACCCACTTCTCCTTAAGGACTAACGCACTGCCCTGGGCTTCAGGTGTCGGTGACAGTAAGTGACGTCCTGCCCCAAATGTGAGCTGTGGCAGCCCTGTGTCTAGCTGTGGTGTCGGCAGTTTGGGACTAAGTGCAGGTACGTCCCAAAGGAAGAGGCCTCTACAAGAAGGTCCGTTCCCATGAAGCTCACGAGGTGTCGTCACTGCACGACAAGGTCACGAATTTGGGTAAAAGACGAATGAGAAAAAAAGTGGCCTTGACTCTGACTGAAGGCAAACACCTACGAGAAAAGGAAAGTGGCGGGTCCCCTACCGTAAGGTGCACACGCGCCCGTAACCTGCGTGGATGACAGAACCGCACTTAAATGGACCTCGACAACATCTGGTCAAATTAACGTGGAAAATTACATACCAAATTAGACGTACACTGAGCTACATCCGCCCCCCGGCAGACGTGGGGTCGCGCCTGTAATCCAATGCTT